TATTTGCAGCTGCTATTTCATAATCCTATTTATTGTGAATATATTTCTCGTCTTCAGCTTTTATTAAGAGAAAAAGCTAATTGTTTCATTAATTTTCAACGATAGCAGGGTCACCGTTGACCGGACCAACCCAGATTTACGTCTGGCCAATGTATGACCGTCATCTACACTCCCCCCAGCCTGTTTGGGGAATTTTTTATAATCTTACAAGAACGATAAATGTCACATCTTTTAAATTTAGCAAGGAAAGAAGAGCATAAAGAAAACAGAACTTGCGGCACTCAAGAGGATTACATAGTGCTTTCCTAATTTAATGAGATTTTAAGTTTAAAACAATTGCAAAAGAGAAACACAGGAGTTCCTACAATACACTGTGCCTTTCCAATCCCAATCCAATGCGACCATAGGTTTAACGGAAGTGAAGCAGAGGACATAATAGATTCCTAGGTCACAGTGCTCATCTCATATCAATTTATGGGGGTTTAAAAGTGCTTAAATAAGTCATTACCGTGATAATAAATAAAGTGTCATGTTTAAAATACTTAACAATATAAAGATGTATGATTACAACAAAAGTAAAACTATAGATGATGAGTTTACCTTATAATACTGGCGGAATAAGCAAACGTTTATGGTAATTGAGCTGGTTTAAATGAGTTCGCAAAATATGAATGCAGCCACTTGGTTAAAGTTGAATAGATTATGCACTTACACAATGTTTCAAAAAGTATTTAGCAAAATATCTCTATGAAATAATGCAATGCGCTCACAGCAATAAGCTGGTGGATGGGTGTTGCACTTGCGATTCTATTTTTGGGATAATGACCTTCGCGGAAGATTTCTGCACAGCCGCTGCGCCAGTGCGTGCAAATAGTTAAAAAAAAAACCCCTCCTTGTTCGCATAAAATGTCTCTGCGTTCCGTATTAACAATTTTTGTAATGGCTTAGAAAATATTTCATGAGCCTTTTGACTTTGTTTGCTTCCAATTATGTATTTATTTTTACTTTGGATGCACCTCCTCAATTACACAATTTTTTTCTCAACTTCCACTTCATTCGCGCACAAACAAATTAATAAAACTAAATTATGACATTTCGCGTTCACTTTCAACATTCGTAGGCTTATTTATTTGTGCATTTTTTAATTTCTTTCATTTTTGCGTAAAATTACTGATTTAACATCTCCGAAGTGTTTTCCATCAATCATCAATGAAAAACTTTTTGCAATCTCTTTTGTGCCCGTTTCCAATCAGAATAACGCAGAGTTGCTTAGTCGAGACTCGATCAAAGTCGTGCAGGGTTGCAAATACAAGACGACTAGCTTTTAAAAAACTAAAAATTTTATTTGAAAAAACAAAAAATTGCGATTAAAATCAAAATTTGAAATGGGATTAAGCAGATGGTAACAACAGAGTAGCTGTTTTAGACTTTTTTCAAATTTTTTGGTCGATAACCTGAATTCCATGGGTATTAGGGCATTTTTCAATCAAATTACAAAATATTGCGTTCTTCGACCAAATTCTGCGGTTCTAACTTGTTTTACGATTGGAAACTCAATTCGTATCGAAAGGCGACATGAACTCATACAAATTAATAGCGCCAAGTAATCGAATATGAATGATTTGCTTTTCGAATCGCAATACGGAGTAGACCTCCTAGGCAGGGCGTTCTTGAAGTTTTCTGATAGGTAGATCTTCCACTCAGTCGTCGATATATGTGATATTAAAAAGTCAACGTGGCAAAAGGGGTTCTGCCAAGGCACATTGAATTTTGCCTTCGGATCAGCCTTGAAAAAAGAACATTTTACCAAGTTACCACTATAGTGTTTCAACAAAAACATACAGCAAAAATTCAAACATCCAAATAATACCTTAAAGGTTTTGGACCCTTCCTATAAAAGTTTTAAATATACTCAATGTCTGAACAGCTTCCCTTTACCCATTAGTCCCATAAAGTGATTATTTTCTTTAGCATAAAGCAACACTTGTTTAGCAAATAAAAAAAAACAGTTCTTCCAGTTAAAAATCTTGAAAACTGCAATTTTATTGAAGTATATACATTTAGAAAGCCCTGCAATAAAAACAAATGAAATATTAGTCAGTGCACCGGCCGCTCTGTTCTTTTGCACACACTCACTTGGTGATCAAACCATCCTTCTTGGCCAAACGCACAATACAATCATCGGATTCACCCATACGACGGATCTCACCACAGATAGCGTAGGTCTTAGCACCAACAGTCATGCGGCCAGTTTCAGGGTCAACATCAACAATATTCAATTGCACTGAAGCATGATCCTTGGCGTGGATGATTCTGTTAGAGGCAGAGCTGTAGAATGAAGATGGGAATTCATATTAGTTAACTGGAAATGCAATTGCTGCTCCTCCGCTACAGCTAGCAAACACGTGTTCACCTACCATTTCCTGGGGCAGTACAAATCAACAGACTCGCCGGCGTCGTTCTCCATTTTTATTACTGCAAATAAACACACAATTGATAAATACATATTGGTACATGTCTTAAGATAATATTTACACAATAAATTTATATAAATAAGTTTACTTTTTGTACGGGAATAAAAATTTGCTAACACTCGTCAATGGAGGCAGAAAAAGAAAGAAAGGGAAGGTAAAAATTTGTCATTTGACATTTGGATGAGACTTAACTTGGGTGAAGTTGGCTGACGTTTATGTAACGATAGATATGCCACTTAGTTTGCGAAAACTATCAGATTTTTTTAAATCAAAAAGTAAAAGAAAAAACTTAAATAAAAAATTAAACCCCTCTAACCATAAATAAACAAAATTGAAACCGAAAAAAATAAATTAAAACAAATGAAAAGAGAAATAGATAAAATATAATAGAATAAAATAAAGTAAAGTATAAATATTAATATGAAATGAAAATGAAACAAAAAAAAGAAAATTAAAATGTAAAACTATAGAGGTTGATATAAAGAAAAATATACAATAAGTAAAAAATAGTAATAAAAGTAAAATAAAATTTATATGTAAAATTAGAAATTAAAAAGCTAAAGCAGTACAAAAACTAATATAAAAAATTTTGTGAAATAAAATACAAGAAAATAAAATATAGAATAAAATCACAGAATACAAATAAATAGAACAGAACAGAGCCAAAATTTAAAATGTGGTTTATTAAACAGATTTTTGTGCGAAAATTTTATAAGAAATTTGATACCAAATTAAATTTAAAAAATTTCGTATCTTTATAAAACATGAAATTAAATAAATTGAAAAAATAACTAAAACAAAATAAACTTAAAGACTTAATACTTATGTATACACATACTTTTACATATGTACACATTAGGGATGCCAAAATATCAGGAAAATTGGGATCCCGGGATTTCGGGATATTATTAGGTAATCTCGGTATACCGGGATTTATCCCAGGATTCAAATTGAGTCATAAATTGTATGAATATGAGTAAAAATTCAATATCTGAAAGCATTTAAACATACAATGAAATAAAACTATTTAGAAATTACGATAAACTGATTGTAAAACTCATATATCGCTAGCTTAGAGTGAAAAGTTGTTAACTTCACTTTTAATGAAAAATCATATTTTGGTATAGGAGGCTACATAAATTAATATTGCATCGTTTTGAAAAGGGTAAAGGTCCTTGTTCTATGTTTTCTCGTTTGTATTCAATGAAAGGAAAATTTTCTAAGGCCCAGAAAAGCTCCGAAAATTTGATAAGGCCAAAAAAGTTCGAAATCTTTTAATAAAGATCGAATCTCTCTGATTCGTATGGAGTTTTGCTTTGCTTTAAACAGGCAAAATGTTGTATTCAAAGTTTTGCGAAATACTTGAAGAAAATGGCTATACGAAGTTTTTTCCTCTCCTGTACAATTTTTAAACTGGGACTTAGCAACTTTGCACTCTACGCTAGCGATATTTATTTATTCAATCAGACAAATTTTAAAGTAAAACATTTTTTTAAATTGTATTTAAAAAACCATGTGATTGAGGAACGTATACATCACAAATAATAATTTAAATACCATTTACTTTTGAAAGTAACGATTAATAAAAAAACATAAAACAAAAATATACAAAAACAATTTCTCTACTCTATAATGAAATGGCGAATGGAGAATTTTATGCCATTTTTTCACAATTAACTAGAAATTTTGGGGGTGTACGAGTCAAACGGATCTCAGAATCGGATCCAGCGGGTCGAAAAACATTTTGGTAGGTGGGTCTGGTTAAAAACACACACCCCTTTTTTCCGGTGTTGTTATTATTGCACTTAAAATGTTTTCATAAGAGCAGCAAAGCATTCAAAGCGGAGTCTTCTAAGCTTGACCTGCAGTTTTTACATACAAAACCTACTGATGAAAAACATATTTCGGCATCAACACTTTTAGGCTGAACTTCCAAAAAGTAGTCATAATCCATTTTGATCCAATTGAACTTCTTTTACCAGCATGTTTCTCGTTTTTCGATTTGAGGAAGTTTTGAGTAGATTGATCTAAAAAAATATCTAACTTTTCCTTAAAACTCTCTGTTTCATTTACATTAGCGACGCTATGAGTAAATTCATTGAAATCTTCTTCAAAAAAGGCTCAGACTGCAATTTAAAAGTACAGTTTCAAGCTTTTTGTTAATTGCAGTCAAAACGGCATTTTACAAAAATCATACTTCAAAATTCATAAACAAATTCTTACTATCAGTTCTGGACGTCAAAAACACCGGGTTCCCGGGATCCCGGGATTGACATCCCTAGTACACATATAAGAATTGAAGTTAAAAAGCTAAACCAGAACAAGGAAAAAAATGAATTATGAGAATAAAAATAAATATAGCAACAAGATAAAATTGAAAACTGGTTCATTAAAAATATTTTTGTGCGAAAATTTTGAGAAATTTGGTACAAAATTAATTTTATAAGTTTAATGTGGCAACGCTGAGATGTCAACGAAGATGATGTCTACTTTTAGGCACTTTGGCTAACAGTTGTGGCCAGCCGTCAAAGCTGTCCTGTGCAAGAATTTGCTGCTTACGTGTTTTTTATTGTAAATTAAAAAATAAAAACAAAATAAATATAAAAATATTGAACTAAAAAAAAGTTGAGTGAAATATAAAATAATGAAACTGTATAATTTGGTTAAAAACGCTTTAAAGTATGCCACGATGACGGAAAATTTTTATTGCAGACTAAAAACTGATTCTGGAAAAAATTTGCCTGAACTGCGTGCACAAAAAAGTTATGAATAATTTATAGAACTATAAGGAATCAAAATATGTATGTAAGTATATATATTTCAACGACATTTCTGAGCGAGCCTAAGAAAATCACTGATATTCTCGAAAGGTTTGTATTTTGCAAATTACGCAAATAAATTTATTGATTAAACCCTCTAAGCAACAACAATTCCATTGAAAACACTTGAATCGCATTAAGTAACCACAAAAAAAAAACACACATACACAGAAACAAAAGGATGATGCCAAAAACAAAAACTTTTGGGGTATGTTAAGTAAGAACAAAAACAAAAAATATAAAATGTTGAACAAGCTAAGAACAGATTCATTTGAACTTTTAACATTCGCCCCATCCCCTAGGTGCAACCGGCAGCCAACCTATTTTTTCATTTCTCTCGCTTCCTGCCATGTGGGCGAATTTGATGCATTTGTGTGCACTTTCGTAAGGAGGCAAGTGGTATTTTAGTGTTGCTTTAACGCTCCAGCCATTTGTCAGCTCACGCTCTAATCGAGGCTTTGCATTCGCCCACTCGTTTGTGCTGTTCGGCAGCCTAACTGCTTCACTGACTAACTGCCACCCTGCCTGGCTGGCATTTTATGCAGTTTGCCTGTTCGTCCACATCGGCTGCCTGCTCGTGGATGCATATTTGCAATTATACAAACAGACAAACGCATACATAAGTATGTAAATTTAGCGATGCACTTTAAAGTGCCCAAAGGCCTACAAATTCCCTGGGATGAGTGTGCGAACAGCCAACTGGTGTAGTCTACTTGTAGGCTGTGAATATTTTACTGCCTTTATTTCCATGCTGCTTCTCGCTACTTCCTCTTACACAGCTTTTGTTTTGTTTCTCACTCACTGTCTGACACCGTTGCCAACTTAGTGCTTTTCGCACTAAATTTAGTGCTTTTCTTAATTCAACACGCGAAAATTTTTGATTTTGGTGCTTGGTGCGTTTTTTGGTGTTTTTTTTTTTTAGTTTGAAGACACCAAAACTGTAAATCTGAAAAATGTAGTAAGTAAAATTTAGAGCAATTGGAAGTTTCGTAAAGAACTTTACAAAAATGGAAATAATATCATGGCACAATGACAATCATAAGCGAAAGAGCATCTGTTTGTCAAAAAAAAAAAAAAAAAAAA